AAAAAAAACATATCAATTAGTCTCATAAATGCCTGCTAAAGAATGCAATTTAACTCCTTACTTCCTTACTCGTTAAGAGCTAAGATTTGAGCTTTCTAAATCTGGCCTATCCTTTTTTTCCAATTAAACATTCAGCATTATTTCATTTTAGTTTCAGATGTACAGCACAGGGGTTAAACATTTATATAATTTATGACTGATTCTCTAATTAGTCTAGTACCCACCTGGCACTATACATAGTTACTACAATATTATGGACTATATTCCCTATGCTGTACCTTAAATCCCTGTGACCGTCCTATCCTCTAACAATTTAAAAAGTTGATCTCCAAATCCCATTTCTGCAAAAACAAAAAGCTGGAAATAATCTCACCCTTACAAATCTTATGTGTTGTTTTTTTTCTAGAATCTATCATACCTTATCCTGTGTCACAATCATTATGTACATGCTCATTTAACCATACTAGATTTCAAACCCACTGAGATCAAGGTCAAACATATCCATCTTTCTATTCATCTCACATAGCTTAGGAAAGAGTTTTAATTATACTCTTAACTTTCTGCCGACTCTATCACCTAAAAAAATTAAGGCTTGGGAATTCGTTGCAGCTTGGTTTAAAAAGGAAAAACAAAAAACCTCTTGGAACTGTGAGAAATGTAGCTGCAGGGTGATGAGGAGGTGGGTGGGGGATGTGCATACTATTTGTCTGCAGTCAGTTAAGCACAAACCAGATCAAAAGACTGCCTTCTCTTCCCCTTCAATGGCTGGATTCCATCCAAGTCAATCTATGTCTCCTAAAGACAAAGTCTGCCTAGGTTCACTTCTAAGGACCTGGAGAGGCTGATGTAATTAATCTAGGGAGCTTTCTAGTGGTCTGCAAGTACAAAAGAATAAAATCAAAATTTAACCTGTGAGCTACTGACCAGGTGAAAATTCTAGAATGTGGACTCCAGAATCCTCTAAAAAGCCATGGAATCCAAGTCTTTCTGCTGAATTCAATCTATATCAGATAGAGCTCATACCAATGGGACCCCACTGCAAAATCTGTAAATGTATCCCAAACAAAATGTCCCCTCACAAGTGAAAAGATGAGCATGCCCTAAGGTGTAAATTATATGTTAAACTTTCTGACATACTCCAAGTCATCTCTCTGTCCTGTTGGTAGTAACATAGCCCACAGCAGAGGCAAATGGGCAGAGCAGATGATCAATCAAGACAATTCAATTTTCAAGAATGAAGTCTTTTTAAGCATATAGTAAAAGATATAGAAAGTTCTACAACCGTATTAACAGCTGTTACATCTAGGGAGAGATGGGAGACAGAAGTGCGCAAAGGAAGTTTTCACTTATATACAGTATTGTTTTAATTTTAAGAGTATCAGTTTACTTCTGTAATTTAAAAAAACAATTTAAAGTAAAATTTTGAAATGTCAATTCTATTTTTTTAAAAAATTAAATAGACCCACATGGAATTCAAAGGAAAAATAAATGCCATTTTGCAAAAATTTGGCCACTAGAGACCTATAGATCAAAACAGAAATAACACAATTCTATCCTACAAAATAAAAAATGAATATTGGTAACAGGACAAAAATGTCACAGCGACTGTCTGTCACCCACTAGTCAAAACTCACTCCTTTGATTATGTATTAGCCACCAGAGGGAGTTTGAGTACTCTCCCCCCTAATTATATTCACTTTAACAACTCCTTTCCAAATTTAACCTAATTTAAAAAGTTAGGCTGGCAGAGCTAAAAAAAAAAAAAAAAAAACTTAATACAATGTTTACAGCAATCCATAAGTCATAAAAAAAAATTTTGGCACCAACAAAACTGTTTTATTTTAATTTTTCATAAAACACACACAATTTCATTGGGGTTCACGTCTGATTTCCTTGAGAAAAAAGTTTTCCAGTCTGGAAAGCAAACTACCTGGACAATCGATTCTGTTATCATTTCGATGCACTGCTCATATTCTCCAACTGTTTGTCATGACTTTAGGGTTAAAAAAAGTAAAACTAAAATTTTATACAACTCTGACTCCTGAAAAAAGAGGAAAGGGGGGACAAACTATAATCTGAAAACAGCATAATCCAGCCATAAAGCTAAATGTAAGTAATGTCATTATATTCTTTAGCAAGGGAAAATATGACTAAACATCTTTAAAAGTTAAATCTGTCTGTGACTTAAGCATCTTAAAAACAATGTATAAACAGCTAAACTTTCAATTCTGGTTCATTTTTCTAAAAAACATTAAGAGAAATATTGAAAATGGCCAAAATTACCATAAATTAGGGGAAACAAGCAGACAGCCAAAACTATAGAGCAAATTATTTCAGAAGGCAATAATCTAGTTATGAGTCCATAATATAGTCACAAATATTTTAAAAACAGTGTACATCTCATTTCTCACTCTCCCCTCACCAGGCTACTATTTCACCCTCTCCCTCATCCTTTCTAGTTTTCTAGTATCTTCCTAGAGTCCCCTTATACACAGAAAAGTAAACACAAATTCATATTCATATTCCACCCCTCCCCCCTTAACATATAAAGTAGCTCATCATTCACACGGTCCGACACCTTGTTTTTTTTCACTTTATAACATACTTTGGAGATCTTTTCATGTCAGTACACAAAAAGCTTCCTCATTCTTTTTCACGGCTGATCATGACTAGTTCTACCACAGCTTTCGATTACCTTCTTCAGGCTAACCTCCAATGACATTATATTCAGTCAACTACTTAACACTTGAGTTAGTTTCTTTCCTTCGACAAGATTTTAAAACAAACCAGATTTGAGGTGTCCCAAAGGATAACTTTCAGAGAAAACAACTCATTATCTAAACTATATCCTTTTTAGAACATTTGTTTTTCAACCAGGTAGAGGAAAAACATTCCACAATTTTCTCCTCTCATCACGTAATAAAACAAAGCTACAAATTAGAATGCAATCTTCGAGTGAAATTACCTTTTTTTGATTTGAGGGATCAGCATAATAGTCAAATCAACAATGACTTTATTTCTTGTGCTTTTCTTTCACTGTAAAAGAAAACAATAGGTTTTTTTGTTTTGTTTTGTTTTTTTTAAAAAAGGCTAAAAAGACTTAAAGTAGCACAATGGCATTCTAATAACAGGAAGCCACCACCTGATTCGATCTTTCATCTGCCAGGTCAGAGGCCGAGGCTCTTCTCTTTCGGGATTCTGCTATTATCAACAAGGACGACTTTCACACCGGCAAAAACACACTCAAGAATATAAGCTCTGCGGCGCTACGTGTTGGAAATTACACTCCAGGAGCCAGAGCGCCTGAACCAGCTACCTAGACTCCGGCTTCGCAGGCGGAAAAGGATCTAGGAAACGCAGCCGCGGCGGTGACAGTGAGCTGGGGAGGCGCGGGTTCACGGAAGGAAAATCCGGCGCCGCGCGGGGAGCCCTGGAACCCGCGCAGTCGCTCCAGCCGGACGCAAGGAGCCGCGCGCTCCCCAGGGACCGAGCCACGGAACCACGACCACTAACGGAACCAGACCACGGGCGGCCGGGCCGCCGTTCCAACCGCGGACTGCGGCGCGCGGGTCGGGTGCCGGGAGGGCGGGGGTTCCCCGGAGGAGCTGGCCGCCCCGGCGCCCCATTGGGCGCCGCTCCAAACGTGCCCAAGTTGTGACAGGAATAAAGTGGGTCACAAGGCCTAGCGGGTCCCCAGCAACAGCCCTTTCGGCACCAGTCTCCCGCTTCCCCGGCCGCTCTGCCGCAGGAATCGGCCACAACCCCGGGGCGAGCACAAGCCACCCAGCCCTCCTGTGGCACCCCAAACCCGCCCATGCCCCGCAGGTAACCCTAGCTGCCCCAGAGGGGCCCTCAGCCAGGGCGGGCCTCCGCCCCAACTCCCAGGAAAAGACATACTACGGCCACAGTAAAAACTTGGGCTTCAGCTCCCGCCTTCCTCTCCCTTGGCCGCCGCCCCCCAGCCCCACACACATGCCGCCCCCCACTCCCTCCCTTACCCGCGCCCTCACCGTGTGGCTTGTGGCGGCTCCTTCTTCCCTCCCCCACCCTGGAGTCTGGCTGCGACGACTCGGAACCACAAACCCGGCTGCGCCCAGGAGACACTGCGGATCTCAGCGCAAGCAGCACCTGGAGCTGTGAGTGGCGCCCCCAAACCACCCCCGAAAAATTCGCCGCTACTGCCGCCCGCTCCTCCTCCCCCTCCTTTCCCTTCCCCTCCTCCACCGGCACCGGGAGCACGCATGCGCTGCCGAGGCTAGCCCGCGGCGGACGTCAACCCCGGGCCCACCCGGCGGGGCGCCACTCACCGGGAGCGCGTAGGCGTCGGAGGCGAGATTTCCTTCGCGCTCTCGCTCTCGGAAGTTTCTTTTTTTAAGCCAGTAGCCGCGAGCCTTGTCTGTGATTGCGCTCCCTCCAGGCGCATGCGTCGCCAGTGACCCCGCGGGCTCCGACTGCCGGCGCTCTCGGTTCGCCCCTCCCCTCACTCTCCCTTTCCCCGGCGCATCGCGGTGCGCATGCGACTTTCCCCGTTAGAGCGCACGGGGCTGCGGAGGGAATCCCGGGCTGCGGAGGAGATTCCTGCTCCCTTGGGCCGCGCGTTTGCGCGTCTGCGGCGCCGCTGAGTGCCGAGGGAAACCGGGATCTCCCGGACGCCCCCTTTCCTGCACCGGTTGCTGGAAAGCCGGGGAGAGGCGGGGCCTGGTCGGGTGGAGGGTGCGGCCGGTCCGGGAGCGTTAGCGTTGGGTCGGGCGGCTTTGGCTTTCACTCTGGATGCGGGGAGCCAGGAGGAGGAAGAGCTTCCTGCCAGATAAGAAATTCGTGAGCCAAACACGGAATCTTCTCTCCCTTGAAAAGTAAATCACTTTGTCGGCGACAGGAAAGATTTTTTTTCTCCCTCCAGCGGCATTACTCGCGTTTCGTCTCCTGGGGCTGGAAGGGGGTTTGCGAAAGTGACTGGACTTCCAGAGACACAGTCTTTCCCCCTCTCCTGGAAGAGCACGGCTTGGGTCGCTTCTTATTGGTGGGTAGGCCTTGGTAGACGGGACTTGCGCCCTTGGCTGGAGGGAGGCAAATAAAGGTCAGGATAGTTTAATCCAAGATGAGAGAAGTAGTGGGAATTAACCAGGATCCTAATTTGCACGGCTTCCCTTGTTAGAAAAGCGTGAGAATACGCCCTGCTTATATTGGGAAATTACTCGCCTTGATATTTAAAACACACTTGGTCCATATGTTTATGGTTGAACACATCTCAGTAGTAAATTATGGGGAAAGAGGTTTTTATAGTCCCAATTCCTAGTATTCATGTTTTATTGAATGTCCTTTCGATTTGAAATAGAAACCATCTTCATGTCTCACAATATAACAGCTGTAAAAGCCTGCCTTCCGGATAACATTCACCTCAGTAAACATTTCAGATTCTTGCTGTATGCACACAAAGAAAAAAATATAGATGAAAATTGAGGGGCTTAGCTCCCTGATTCTTCACCGTAAGGTTTTTCAGTAGAGAGTGGCAAAGCATAATTTATTAACTCCATCACATAGCAGAAGAGATTTTGGTATACATTTTTGCCTGTTCAGCATTCATTCTGATAATTTCTTTTATCTTCACTCTCAGTCTATATGGCTAGGCAGGACTCCCAGGGGAAAGCATATTTTAGTTAATCCTCTGCCTCAGGCTAGAGTTACCAAGAAGGGCTGTATTGCAATGGATTTAAGTTTGGAAAAATGGAGGCCTGAATCCATCTTTCCACTCAGATTCTAAGAAGGCAACATGGAGAAAAAGATTCAAAGATGGTCTGGCCTGGAGACATGTTCCATGCCCTGAACCCAATGTGGACTAGATAACTCTGGAAATTTAGTCGAATTAGTCAAATCCACGTGTTTGTTTTATTGCTAAAAACCAGTGGGAGTTTTTCTGTCACTTTCCTTACTTGTAGCAAGGAAAGAGGCAAGGTTAATCATACTGATATGTAGGTTGCATCCTGACAAGCGGGTTTGAATGTTTTTCCTAGGATGTGGATGTTTGGATTTTAGTCGAGAAGGTGATCCTTCTTCATATCCTACATCATCTAGAATATATATCTTCAAAAATACCTTTGCCCTTTTTAATGGTTCCATTGTCCTCTTAGTCACTAGGATCAAATTATGTTCATCTTTGACTCCTCACTCTCACTTTCTGTATTTAATCATTTACCAAAACCTGTTGATAATTTTCTGTTTTTCTGCTCTGTCCTTTGCAACTGCTTGAACATTTCCCACGGTTCAGGTCACGACTTAATCCTTTCTCATATTCTTTCCAAGACTAAAACTGTATCGGATATTTGTAATAATTTCTCCAACTTCCAGATTCCACTTTTCTCTAAAACAAAAATCCTGCCTTTCATAGATCCTAAAATTTTTCCCCAGGCTAAATCCTCTCCTTGAACACAATTTATGCAATTCAAATATTCTGTTTGTTCCTTTTTTAAACCGAGCATTTCCAGCTCCATTTCCAACTGATTCCCCCAGCTGATGTCTTGATGGAGGCAATGTAGAATAGTGGTTAAGAGTACAGAATTAGGAACTAGTACATAAGAAATCCCATATTAGTGCTGGCTATTGTTAATGATGTTCCTTTCTGAGTAATTCTTACATCTTCTCATATTCTTCCCTTATTTTTTATTTATTTTATTTATTTATTTTTTTACACCTACAGCATCTGGTCTTCCTAGGTGGTCTCCTATCCAAGTACTAACCAAGCCTGACCTGCTTAGCTTCCAAGATCAGACGGAATCAGGCTTGTTCAGGGTGGCATGGCTGTACACTCATATTCTTCCCCTAGTTCCATATGTCCAATCAGTCACAAAATCCTTTCTGTTCTTTCATAATGCCTCTCTCATCCATCATTTCATTGACATTCCTAATTTTATCACCATAGTGTAAGGTGAATGAAATATAGGAAGTTTAAGATATGCATCATAGGAAATAAAGAGTAAGATTTTTTTAAAGATAAAGCTTCATGGTTTAGTCAATTACTCATTCTTTCTAGACCCTTTAAAATAGAAGTACATAATATGAGGTGGTATTATAGATTTTGTAGTCAAAAGTCTAGGGTCAAATCCTGACTAATACTAAGCACAGCAACTCTGAGAAAATTAAATAATTTCTCCAAGCTCTGTATTTATCTGTAAAGTTTGAAAACTATGTCAGAGAGTTGTGATGGTCAAATGTAAATTATAAACTGCTACATAAAGGTTGAGCGGTAAGGATGATGGTTTTAGATTTTTATAATTTTTGTTGGAACCCTAGGAAGGTCGAAATGACTCACAAATTTGTAACTCCAGCCTTCACCACTCCTTTGGGCTCCATGCACATATGTCCCATTGGCTACTTGATGTCTCCTCTTTAGTGTCTCAAATATTTTGTATGCTCCCTTCAATTTGTTCTTCACAAAGCAGCAAGAATATTCTTTTGAAAATATATGTGAAACCACATGTTCCTACTTGAAACCTTTTGTTTCCCATTACACTCAAATTCTTAATCATGGCCATAATACCCTGTTGATCCAACCCCTGCTACCCCTCCAGCCTCATGTCCTACCATTTCTCCTTTTCTCATAACCCAGAAACTTTCTTCAGCTCCTTGCTAATCTATGTTCTCGGGCTCTGGCACATGCTGTGCCCTTGCCTGGACCACCCTCCTACCTCTTCTCAGCTGGCTCCTCCCCAGTCTTCATGTCTCAAAGTCCTAACTACCCTATTTAAGAAGGTCTACCTCCCACCTCTCATCTGCCCCCACCTATATTGTACCCACAGTTATTCTCTATTGTTGTGCTTACTGTTTCTTCCATAATGTAAGTTTAAATTACACATATATTTGTTTGATATTTGTTTTCTTATCTATTAACTATCTTCCACACCACCACATGGTAAACTCCAGAAGGCAAGAACCATTTGTTCACCACTGTATATGCAGCATCCATTTCAATGCCTGAGATAAATGAATGATTGAATGAATGAATGAGATGAAAAGTAAAATATGCTAGAAGAGTTTTAGGAGCATCCTTATATCCCAGATTATGATTGTAGGCAGATTATACTCTCGTCAAAAGGTAGCCTTACTAATGAATATTAAAGTACAAAGGAGAAATTAAACTGAAATCAGTAAAATATGATGTACTAGTACTGTGTTAGTAATTGAGTACTTGAGGACCCACAGGAATATGTAACACTATAATAGATACAGCTAATACCTGTATAAGATAATGTTGCATGGGGTCCAAATTAGGGAACAATGAGCATGAAGTACTCACATTAAATAGCTGCCAACATTTGAGGCCAGATACTTACTACCTTAGCCGGGACAAAAGCTGAACAAACCTGGATCTGCCATAGTCAAAACCTCCAATCCCCCTCTCAGGCTGTATAAGCAGAACACTTGGGAAGAGGAGGATGAGGGAATCATTGGAGCTCTGTTTTATTAAGTTCCTAGGGAGTACTGTGGCTTTTCCTTTCCTATTTATCCCCAATCTCACTCCAAGTTAAGTAAGCATGGCTCCGATAGAATCAGCTAGAGAAACTGGAGGTGACTATAAGGAGAAACTGGCATCTCATTCATTGGCAGATTTGTCGATATTCTCTGCACCTACGTGAGCAGGAAGATAGAGACTTGAAAAGAAACAGCTGGCCAGGGAGTGAGCTGAGTAAAGCAACTTGCGTGCGCGTTACAATCTGGCATGGCAAGGATGTGTACGTTTCTCCTGAGTTCACTGATGCTGTGTAGAAAGTGCTGTCCAGGTTTGAACCATCTTGACACTTAAGAGGGAAAGCAGTTTTAGCAACAAGAGGCTAGATATACTTCTGAAAGTGGGAACTGAGAAATTAAAAGAAAGAGAGCTGCAGACTGATCACCCATGTCAAGGAACTGCAGCAGAGAGGTGGCCTCAGAGTTTCTACAACTCAACGTGCCCATTAACGAGTCAACATTTAGATGAAATATGGATTGAACTTAACTAGTTATCTTTTTCTTCCCTAATTTGCCTCCCAGTTCCCACACCATAACCTAGGGAATGGGCCTTGAAAAGAGAAGGAAAGTATTGGTTAAAAACAAACACCACCTTGTCTTCAGAGTTCTTGAGTCACAAGTTCAGCCAGAGAAGGCTTGCCTTGAAACTGAGATTAGAGTTTTAAAACAGACTTTTAATAATCAAGAGTGTAGAGAAAGAGTTAAAGAATATGTTTTTAAGGGATTTGCTACCCATTGCTGCTTAATCAGGTAAGGATCTCATTAAAACAATAATTCCAATTCAGTTAGTCTGGGATGGGGCCAGAAATTCTGCATTTCTAACAAGGTTTCTGGGGATAATGCTGATTCTAGGACCACATTTTGACAAACAAGGTGCTATAAAGTAGGGAAGGGTGTTTCAAGAGAGCACAGTTGGCAGCAAGGAATAGAGCTAAATATTAGGTTGGAACATGAAATATCCATTTTTATAGGTCAAAAACAGTTGAATATTGTCAGTTTCAAAAAAAAAACATTAAGTTTGTATTACATCAAATAAAATTTTATAAAACAGGAAAGACCATATTAAATATTAAATCTCCCACATTCAGACAAACATTTGTACCCTACTTAAATGAGAATGTATAAATGAAGTTGCGTATGGAAATAGTACTGACCTGTGTTGGCAGGTATGAGTACTTGCTAGAAGAATATGGGGGTTTGGGGGGCACATGCGGGCATTATTTGAAAAATGCTGGGGATGGAATTAACCGGCCACCTCTAAGATGCTTTAATTTTATGATTTTTACAAATGTTAGTCTTCATGAACTGTGCTTGTGGATAAAAACTTACTGCCACCTGGTAAATTTGAGTTAAGAATTAAAAGTGAAATGTGTACCTTTTTATTCAAATATATCTGTTAATTTTAACTTTAAAAAGAAATACATATTTATTTTTTAAAAAGAATACATTTGGAGGGACCTTTGCAGTTGGTTTCAATTGGAGGGGAAAATAATGTTTATATTTATATGCATTAGATGGCATTAAAGTTACATTTTAACAATATGATTATATGGTGTTTTTCCTTTCATTTCCACAGTTGGATCATTTGATTTTATCCTACCTGGTGAAGTAAATTATCATCACCTTATTCAAATCTGTATTTAACTTTTCTTCCACTTCATCATCTGTGCAGACTCTATGATCCCTGCCCACCCCCAAGAGCAGCAAAGATGCTTTTCTTGACTCCAAGTTAAACTGCCTCAGTTCTCACCAATTTATTTTTGTAATCTAATCATTTAAACTTCGTCTAGATTCTCTCACAAACATCAGTGAACAACTGTAATCAGAAAGAAGATCATCAATACAAGAAAATAAAATCTGTTATTGAACTATTACTTGCTAGATTTACCACTCTTTAAAAATGATGTTCATTATTAAGTCAAGATAAGACATTCTACAGGTCTTCTGAAGTATCTTAATATTTTATGTTATCTCATGATGAATTATTCTGTGATTACTAGAGAAACTTAGGTAAGCCTCGCAATATATTTTTCTCACTTCTCATGATTTAGAAACAAATGTCATATGATCTAATAATTCTATAGTCTATTAGTGGGAATACTTATTAATTTTGTAACTTAATAACAGAACTATCAAAAACAATGACAATCAGTAGAGGTATTTCTTATGTACTTTCTAGAATCTTTAAATTGCATTTTTATATTGAGTGGTTAATTTTTTAATCAGTAAGAGATTTCAAAGAAAAAGCCATAAATTTAAGTATTTTCACCCAAAGTCCCCTAAATAATAGACTTTAAAATCTATTGATATAAAGTATATGAAATCTCATGGTTCTCTTTCATCGTTTTCATCTGTAGGCCTCTTTGGAAGGAGGGAGGCAACACAGAGGGCTGGTAATCTCTGTTTTTGTCCAGCATAGGTCAGAAAAAGGACAAGCCACAGAAAAATAAGAGTTTTGTTAGAGGCAATGAATATTCTGAAATACCTGAAAATTTTTGAAATGACATGTAAGCTATAATTCTAACCTAAAACTGAAAATAAATTTAAATTTTCTGAGCTCTGATTATAAATAAAACAGTATATAAACACTTTAAATCTATTTATTAAATATTTCTATTTGGTATCATCATTATCACTGCTTGAACTATTGGTGTCATCATAAATAGAAGTGTTTCTAATTGAAGATACCATCACATCTACAATGCCTTTTTTGGGGTTTTCTTCCAAATCAGTCTGTATTGCTCCGACTTCTGCTAGTTTCCATTCAAGTTCTGCAATAAATAACCCATCATTAAGTTAGATTAAAAATTTGGAAAAATGAAAAGAAGTTCCTCATCTACAGGAAACAGAAGTTGACTGTAATAAAATTAATGTGGAAAAGCTGATATATTTAGAACGGGATGACAATGAAAGTGCTACAGTATGAAAATGCACATGGGATGCAGCAAAGTTACATTTAAAGGGAGAAATTATGGTTAAAATTTTTATTTTAAAATGACTGATAATAAGCAGTTTAAAAGTTCAAATCAGGAAGCTAGGAAAAGAAAGATAGAGTAAACCCAAAGAAACGAGAAAGAGGGATATAATGAAGAAAAGACTTTAGCAACAGTAGAAAAACAAAGTCAGTAGAGGTGACCAACAAAATCAAAAGCTGGTTCTTTGAAGAGACTATGTGTCTATTATAGTCTGGGTATAAATAAAGTTCTGGGTATGTAATGTACAGTCATGGTAACTAAAATGATGATAAGAAGCAGGGAAAGAAATAATATCAAAAATTTACATGAGACATAACCAAAGTAAAGATTTTAAAATTTTGAAGTTGTGAGACTTCTTAGGAAAAAACTTATGCCAATACATTTGAAAACATTAATGGGAAAATTTCAACAAAACTATGAATTACCAAAATATATTCAAAAGAGAAACCAAAAAGAACTGAATTGATAACCAAAAATTTCTCCATCTGTGCAAATTCATCATTTTGTTAAATTTATTCCTAAGTACTGTATAAATGAACAGAATATTTTATTTATGAGGAAAATTATAAAATACACAGGAAAAGTACAAAATATATTATATTACAAAATGTAATATATATAATATTTATGAGGCAAATTACAAAAAATATCAAAGAAGACCAAAGATATATCTTGTCAAATAAATGACAAGATATATCTCATTCGTGAATAGAAATATTCACTGTTACTGGGATATCGAGCCTCCAACAATTAATCTATAAATATGATTCTAATAAATAACACGATTTTTCACAGAACCTGACTAATTCCAACACATGAAATTTTGAAAAAATCATGAACTACTAGAGACAACTTGATTGTTGTAAAGCTATAGTAATTGACGCTCTGCTGTATTAATTCAGAGAGCCAAATAGACCAGTTAGTGGAACATAGTAGAGACTTCAGATACGAATTGAAGCATTTTTTGAACTATGAGAAATGACATAAACATTAAAAATCAGTGGGGAAAACACCTCACACACATTAGAATGGATACTATTTTTTAAAATAACAAATGTTGGTGAGGATATAGAGAAATTGAAACTTTTGTGGAGTATAAAATGGTGAAGCCACTGTGGAAAACAGTATGCTGTTACTCAAAAAATTAGAATTACCATATGACTCAGCAATTCTACTGCCAAGTATATACCCAAAAGAATTGAAAAAGGGGACTAAAACAGATTATTTGTACATCCATGTTCATAGCACCATTATTCACAACAGCCAAAAGATAGAAGCAACCCAACCACCCATCAACGGATGAATGGGTAAACAAAATGCTGTATAAACATGCATTGGAATATTATGCAGCCTTAAAAAGGAATGAAATTCTGATACATGCTACAACATGAATGAACTTTGGGGACACTATGCTACGTGAAATAAGCCAGTCACAAAAGGACAAATACTTAAAATTCACTTATACGAGGTACTGAGATTAGTTAAATTCATAGAGTCAGAAAGTAGAATGGCAGTAGCCAGGGACAGGAGGGAGAGAGAATAATAAGATGTTGTTTAATTGGTATAGTGTTGTGGCTATGCAAGATCAAAAGTGTTCTAGAGATGGATTGCGGTAGTGGTAGCACAACAATGTGAATGCACATAATGCCACTGAACTACATAATTTAAAATGGTTAAATAAAATAATATTTATTTATAAAATAAAGTTCTGGGTATTTAATGTACAGCATGATAACTATAGTTAATACTGTATTATATTAAAAAATGGTTAAGATGATAAATTTCATGTTATGTATTTTTTATGAAAAAAATTTAAATATACCAATAAAAAAAAAACCGTGGACCAGATAACATATTATTCATGATCGTAATGCCTCTGAGAAGGGAGGGGAATGGTGTTAGAAATGTTAACTTCGACCATATCTCTAATGTTTATTGCAGCGATCAAAAAACTAATAGCTGAAGCAAACATAAACAAATATTCACATTTATTATTTTTGGTAATAATTACATAAATGTTTGTATATTATTGGTTTTATTCTTATGTATTAATTTTTTTTTTAATTCAAAGAATGAGGTCCAAGCTGAAAAAAACAAGGTGGTAAACAAATAGGAGGCTTTAGAGACCAGGAGAAGTAAAAGGTATGATTCTGGAACAATTAAATTATTCGAGGTCTCAGTAAGGTCAAAAATAGTTTTAAGAGAACAAAAGAGTAAAAAACTAGCTGTAAAAAACAACTATTCACAATGGGTTCAACATGATGGTAACGAAAAAAGATTTTAATAATATAAAATTAAAGCAGTTCCAAGAAATGACTAAGATGAAGGATATGGCCTTAGAACTCGGTTAGCAAGTAAAAATCATTAAAGAGGGTAAAAATACAAAGTCCTGCACTGTATACTATGAAAAAAAAAATAATAGCAGGCATGGTCCTTGTTAGGAAGATAAAACTCAAAAGGAATTGATTAACCAACAAAGTCAGATAGTATGTAGAAACTCAGTAGAGAACAGGAAGAGAGATTGTGAATTGGTCCAGAATCACAAGGGGGAAAATGGAAACCTAGGAGAATCGTGAAGGAATAGGATTTGGACATGAGAATAAAGATTATGGTATTTTGGAAAAAAGTGTGTGAAAAAAATTCTAGTCACAAATGAGTTAAGGTGTCTTCAACTACTATTGAGGACCAGCCTGGCTGGAGCAGAAACTAGAAAGCATTGAGAAACATAGATAAGTAAGCTGAAATTCTCATAGAGAAGATTCTGAATTTTTAACTTGAGACAAGGAATCATTAAGGATTTAAGCAAGTGGGTATTATAGGAAGTAAATATGTAAGCATACAAGAAGAGAACAACAGAAAGGGAAAAAACGTTGTGTTTTATAGAAATAAACTTCCATGATATTTATTTAGTGAAGTTTTCACCTTTTTTATAAACAAATTTAAAAAATAATATAATTACCTTCTAGCTTGAGATTTATCCCTCCACATTCTATAATTCCAATGAATTTGCCTTCTATCTGACCATTTTTATAAACAAAAATTGTTGGTAAACAGTTGTCATGATAGTGTTGAATACAGCTATTCACGATGGCTTTAACAAATTTAGTTTCTGGAAACTTTCTTGCTAGGAGACTAAGATGCTGGTTAACCAACAAACATGTCGGTATGCTAAAAAAGAGAACCAGTACATACGATATCTTTAAACAATAGATGACTCGTCTCAGTCTAGTAAAATAAGAGAAACATCTCCATGAAAAAAAATCTTTAGATATTCTTTTAATAATATCTAAGAACATATCAATTAGCATCCATTATTGTTACCTTTAGTAATTATGAAATGTAGAACTCTCTGATTTTTATTACCAACACCATTATAGCCTGGGAATAAAGCTTGCTACCATGGGAATTTGATGCCTAACTAAGGCTAACCACATCTGACTTAGTATCAATTTAATTGAGCCAGTTCCTAGTTATAGGACACAGGAGAAAAAAAAGAAAAAGAGAGAGAGAGAGAGAGAGAGAAGGAAGAGGAGGAGGAGGAGGAGGAGGAGGAGCAGGAGGAGGAGGAGGAGAGGAAGGGAGAGAGAGAGTGAGAGAAGGAGAAAGGAGAGGAAAAAAAAACAGAGAAAAAGGACACCTCTAAGGGATCCTTGGGAGTTCTGAGTTTTAACAAAAGGATCCCAACTGCTATCAGCATCACAGGCTATTTTCACATGAGTTATCATATCCAAAATTCTTTATCTCAGACTACCTTGAATTTCTTGACTCTAACAAACATTGCCCACACTTTTCTTTGATATCCCACTCCATGCTACATCTTGTTCTCCATAATCCAGAACTATTCCTCATTAGAAATTTAAAATTGATTGGAAGGATGATTAAAACCTGTGATTCTTCCTGCTCTATCACTTAACTCCCATTACACCCATTCTTCAATTAGTCCCTTTACTCTTAGTCTATCGCTCACTCAAACCTTTATTAAACTGTTTCAAAACTAATCCTCTACTTTATCCCATATTTCTTTCATTTCCTATGGGACTTTTCTCTGCTATTCTGCTTCCCTCTTTTCCTGTTCTCTAAACCTTTTCTTCTCCACTTTACATAAACATATTCAAGTTACTAAAAGTTACTCAAGTTTTTAAAAAGTCCCTTACAACTCTTTGTCCCCTCCTAACAACTATTCTCTCTCTCTCTTGTTCGAAGCCTAGATGAAAAAGAAAATAAAAATCTCTATGTTCTGTTCATCGCCCTTCTTGAAAGACCCTCTGATTTTGGCTTCTGTGATAACACATTCTGTTAATTTCTTTTTTACTTCTTTGCCTTCTCCTATCTATGCTTCGAATGTAAATGTTTTTTGTGATTGTGCCCTGGACCCTATTCTCAGCCCAGATACATTCCCTAGGCAATCTTATCCATTCTGATATCAATAGCTGATTAACTTCATCTCCTCTCTCCTCCAAAAAAAAAAATCTGATCTTTCTTCTGAATTTTCTTTTTAAATATAAACCTAAATTTGATACAAGTGTAGTTCTCTTTTGCTTTTGTATTCATTTCCTCATCATTCATATGGAGCATTTTTTAAATAATGTATGAGAAGAGAAAGATTAATGTGTACTGTGTTAATCAAGGAAAGCTTTTTTGAACAGACAAAATTAGTGTTTTCTCTTGTACTGCTTTGTATATATTTTCAAAACTATATATACAACGTTTAATCGGCCTCTTTTACCATACCACAGAAGCATCTCATTCGCCTTTGTATTCTCAATTCCTAAATCCTGCCACACTCATAGTTGAAGCTCTCTTAAGTGAGTGACTCATGCCAGGGCATACTGCATGCTCCAGGCAGGTGGTGACCCTTTTGGACTTTTTTGTACTTTCCTCCTCTACACCTGTTTGTGCCAATTGCACATTTTATTAAAATTAACAAATAAATAAAAGTAGAATAAGAAAATTACTGTAGTTCTTGTGAAAATCAAATGCATGCTTTGGAAAAACTTGACAAAGTTTAGTTACTAAGAAAAAACTGCTCTTTAGTTATGGGCCAGACAAATGTAAATGATCAAGAAAAAATATGGATTTCAACACTCAAATTGCTTTGCATGTATATTTCAGTTCTTGCTCCATTTAAACTAACCTCAATAATGGAAATCAATGAAAATGCATTATATTCTTACCAACATTTGGGAGAAGAGTTTTGTTTTATTTTTTGTTTGTTTGGGTTTTCTTTACTGGTTTCTGGCTTTTAGTCTCAATATATTTTTGATAAACTTATTTCACACATTTTTTTAAAAATCTACCTCAACATAATAAAGGCCATATAGGAGAAGCCCACAGCTAACATCATACTCAGCAGTGAAAAGCTGAAAGCCTTTCCTCTAAGATCAGGAAGAAGATAACGATGCCCACTCTCTCCACTTTTATTCAACATAGTATTGGAAGTTCTATCCAGAGCAATTAGGCAAGAAAAAGAAATAAAAAGCATCCAAATTGAGAAAAAAGAAGTAAAACTGGCACTATTTGCAGGTGGCATGAGATTATATATAGAAAACTCTAAAGATGCCATTAAAAAATGTTAAAACTAAAAAACAAATTCATTAAAGTTGAAGGATGCAAAATCAATATACAAAAATCTGTTACATTTCTATACACTAAAAATAAACTATCAGAAAGATAAATAAACAGTCCCATTTATAATTGCATCAAGTATACTCCATCTAAAATACCTAATTCAGCCTGTCTACTTTCTCCATCTCTGTAAGCTTGGCAAATCTTTTCTTATTTTTTGAGACCAAGACCAAGAATTACTTATTCTGTAGAAAGTTCCGTAGTTCCCTACTCCAAGGGTAGAACTTACTACTCCCTCTTCAGTAACTTTACTCTGTATAGAATTCAACCACAGCACCTAAACGACTTTTACTACACTTAATTGTCTCTCTCCACTTTACCGAAATTTCTTTAGTGGCAGAGATAGATGTCTTATATATGGCTTTGCATCTCCAGCACCTACAAAATCCTCAGAAATCCTCTAAATACTAGGTGGTGTTATATATCAATTTATGAAGCAAGAAGCTTGCAAAAACATTAAATGCATTATATGTTTAATTTACATTTCAGAATATATATATAACATTTCTTTTGTAATTATAACTTGCTACAAATCTAGACACTGCTATATTTTAGTAGGTAGCCTACTAACAATAATATTAGAAAAGTATGTACTGCCTAACTTAAATACCAATTTTCCACAAGTAATGACATAAATTGGCTTTATAAGTTTCAATTTTCCTCAAACAGATGAACTGAATCCACTAATATCTAATTTAAATGGATTTTACCATTACTGTCAGAATGAGAGCTGAGTCAGTGGTATGACAGACATTTATGAGGTGGATGGCAGAAGGCAGGTAGGCATTGGTGATGGCAGTGAAAAGCATGAAATTAAGAGACTATGGCCATAACGGATTGTGGTTCAGGGAGAAAGTAGTTTGGGGGCCAGAATTTAACTCCATAAAAATTATAAAATATTAGGGAGACTTCTGGCATCACAAAACAAGTTAAGGGCCTAGTTATGGTATATGATGTTCAAAATTTGCATTTGAGTATAAGAATAATGTAGAAGCACAAAATGAGAATTTGGATACAGGTACAAGACTAAATAAAATCAGAAACAAAGCTAACTTTTAACTGAGCCACTAGGCTCACTGTCCCAGAATTAGTTAGAGTCCTCTAAGGTATCCTAAGCAGGCTGAGCCTTCACTTGGTTAAAGACTAGGCCCAATTCTATAAATTTAGTGGCAAAGAAATATTAAAATTACAGAACTTAGGAACCTAATTTAAAAAACAAATTCCTACCCTCCTGTAAAGTTTATAAAAGGCAGGTAGAAATACAAATTAACAGGTATACTTCGCTTTATAATATCAAAAAGTTGAGTAAATCTATTATTAAAATTAGACTTTTCTAAAGAATATTTGTAACACAAATAATTAGTTTCTGTTTTATAAATTTGATTATAGATTAATATTCTTAAAATGTAAGTTATATACCAACACGAATTCATTTTCTTAATGTCAAGAAAACTAATCTTTTATATAACTTTCTTAGATTGCCCAATAAACTTTCTGAGAAGTCGACAAATATTTAAAATGTTATAAAAACAGATCCTTACTCTTTGAGTCCATCAAAGCATATGACAGTTTGAAACAGCCTAGCTTAGACTAAAACACATCAACCTCTTTTATGTGTTTTTGAAAATTGTCAAAAGTAGTAATTTATCTAGAAATAACTGTTAAAATAAATAATTTTATACCAGAGTATGGTGATTCAGAACCAACATCCATTCTGCTAATCATAATAGATCTCAGAAAAGATACTCAGTGAACCACTTCAGTATATAAGTTATGACACACAGATCTTAGTATTGTAAATGTTGATGTTTCACACACTTATTTGTGAAGAACCAAAATCAGCAAATCTCCACATTGGTTTAACCAGATAATGGTATAGGAAAAATGGGAAATGATTCTTTTTAAGGCTTTAAACTACTAAAAAATTAATTCCCTAGTATTTTATTTTATTTATTTAACTTATTTTATTTTTTTAAATTTTTTTAGGCGAGGCAACCCTTGGTTGACCTCACAGATTGCAAGGACCTTGTCAGCTTACAACCCCTTATATTTTATTTTTTATGCCTACAGCACCTGGTCTTCCTAGGTGCTCCCATCCAAGTACTAACCAGGCCCAACCCTGCTTAGCTTCTGAGATCAGACGGGATCGAGCTTATAGAGGGTAGCATGGCCGTAGTATATTTTAATTACAGTAATAAAAATAAAGTCTTCTTTTATAGGGCATGATGTCCTAACAAAATTTGTCTGAGGAACTGGGTAAGCTGGTAAACAGCAAGGCTCTAATTGGCATAAATTGCTCTGTATACTGAATTTCTCTTGAGAACCTGAAGAGGAGAGACATTTTTTTATTCAGAGAATGAGAAAAAGGTAATGAAGGCTACTGTCATGACCTCTGTTCCTGGACTGGCTTAGAGTGCAGGAAGAGGGGAGTTGGACCTAAAGCTAGAGGCACTGTTTCTGTGAGAGATTTGTGAAACTATGGGAGCTTGCAGCTCCTCTTGGGCAGAGTTGGGGAAAAGTCTATTTTTCCCGATTATCATTATACCAGGATGTTGAAGCCTGGGGACATATAGGTTATACTTAGGTACAACTAGGCACTTTATAATTAACTGTTTGAGGGGAATAGGGGAATGCAAGAGAATTATTCTGTAAAAAGAGACTAAAGAGATATCATATATTCAAATGTGCTACATTATCCTTGATTGGGTCTTTGTTCAAAAATATATTATTTATAAAAGATATTTTGAAGTTGGGAAAATTTGAGTAATATGGTCTGGGTATTAGATGCCATTAGGAATTACTGTTAATTTTGTTAAGCAAGAAAATGGTATTATGGTTATATAGAAAAATGCCCTTATGTTTTGAAGATGCATGCTGGATTACTTAGGAGAAAAGTGTCATGCTATGTGTAATTTATTTTGAAGTGGTTCTGCAAATACACACACATACAAAATGATACAAATATGGCAAAATATTAACTGTTGAATCTACCTGGCCTGTATTTAGAGTGCTCATTTTATCACTCTTCTTTTCTGTATGTTTGAAATTTTCCATAAGTTTTTTTAATTAGCTCCCAAGAAAGCTTATTTTTTTAAGAAATGTGACAAGTTCTTTAAATTAGACATGTAAATATATTAAAATACCTATTTTAATCCCTGAAGCCAATGGCTCTCTATATAGACATACATATTTTTTTCATGAGTACTTTGTTTTATGCTTTATATAACCTTAAAACCAGAAATATGTATCTTAAAACATTAGTATATTAATATTTTGCAAAAATGCTATGGTAATTACCTTGATCTGTATAGATGAATTATAACCCATACATCTTTGTCTGCATTCGTGACTTCATTCACATACTGATTTCCAGAAATTTCTCTTAACTCTCCAAATTTTTGTTTTTTCTTAAGAGCTTTCCATTCCTGTAATCGCTTTTCTCTAATTAAAAAAAAAAATGAAATTAAATCGCATAGGAAAGTTATTATGTTCTTCAGGTCATTCCCATATACAGTAACAAAGACAATGAATGTAATGCTAGTACATATCAAACACTTTAAAGAATGATAGAATAACTATTAATGTTGTTATAATGCCAGTTTGTTTATATAGGAATTTGTGTTGTCATGCTTATTGCAAAGTATAAGGGGTTAGCTACTGACTTTTAAATTTATTTTTATTTAAGATTAGGTCTTAATCATAGCTATAGAGAATTTATTTAGACATTGGGCAATAAATTCTCATACACAGGTTAAATACTTATTAAGAAAGTATACATAACAATAATAGCTAACATTTACTGAGTGCTTATTACGTTGCCAGGTACTGTTTTAAGTGCACTACATTAACTAATCCTTCCAAATTTTTATAAAGTTAATACTATTATTATCCCAATTTACATGCTCATAACTATCATCATAAGCTTACCTTCAGTCCAAAGCCTTTGTGAATATGTATAATTATTTGTTATAAAGTTTATTGCAAGTAGAGAGGTGGTAGAGAAGAAAGAAAAGCTTGGACTCTAAAGCCAGACTAAACTTGGTTTAAATACCAGTTCCCACTTATTAGCAGCATGAATTAGGGCAAGTTATTTGATCTAAGTTCAGTTTCCCCAACTGAATTATTTGGGAATAATACTAATATCTACTTGCATGGGATTGTTGGGGATTAAATGAGTTAATACATGTAAATTTCTTAGGATGGTGCCTAGCACACAGTGAGTATTCCATGTTACCTAGTTATTCATCCATAGGGACTCTTAAAACTTTCTTAAACAACTGTCTCAAAATTTACATACTTTGATTTAGTTGTCAAATGCTTGGATTCATGAAGCAAATCTAAATGGTTTCTTATATATCTGCAAGTTTCTTAAAAGTTACTGATTCTATATCTCTCAGTTATCTGAGAGTACTTACGCCCCTTCTTTCTCTGTATATTCACTGTATTTTCTCATTTTCTGCATTCTTGATGCTCTGGCACATGGGGCTTTGCTTATTCTGGAGAGACTACCCCTCCCAGATCTAGCTAATTCCTAAAGATAGCAACCACTTGCTGTAGAGCACATTTCTCAAAGGCAAACCAACCGGTCTGGAGCCCGATCCCCCCAATCACCTCCTTTATTAAGCTGAGACACTATCTCCCCGATCTAATCGTCCCTGAGTCAGGTACTACACAACCAGAGAGAGCCACTATACCCCAGAGCCTATGAAAATTATTCAAACTAGCCAGTCCTAAATCAGTTTACCCTGCCTAGTTTGTCTTTTCCACAGAAACCATATATATACAAAAAAACTGGTGTCCATGCTATCTCCTCACTATTTCTGCCTCTTGACCAACTCTGGTGCTTCCCTGTGTGGCCCTGCATTGTGGGGCATGCCCCCGACTCTTGAGAACTATGAATAAACAAACTATCTTTTCAACGGCGATTATCTCCTGATCTGTTGGCTTCATCATACCTGAATAAATACAAAATCCTGGGAATATTTTCACATTCTGTCCTATTTCACATATTAGAAACATGTCATGTAAACCACTCTCCATAATAAGTAATCCAGGTAAAATGAAGCCTAGAGGAGAATGCCAAGAATAGCAATGTAAGTCTAGGGCCTTTAAACAGTTTTCAAACTGAAGTTCTTCAGTTTTCCCTCTACCGACCCAGATATTCAGAACTTACAGTTACTCCAAACATCTTTTGGGAGCCACATTTTTCATTGAGTATTTAGTATCATTATCATTGATTTTCCTCAATTTTATCTAACTGGCTTAATATCTTTCAAAAATTTCTTGTTTTATGATGGCACCATGCCCTACTTTGATGCTGCAACTCTGATACTTCAGTGGCATTGAGCAGGGAAAGACAAACACCTGGGTGAATTTTGCCATCAGGAAGTGACTTAGTGCTCAGTGGCCTGCATTTTTCACATAACAATCATCAGTGGGGATTCAGTTGCACAAAAAGAAAGCCCTTTAGCCATTTAGCAAGAAGCGTAATCCATGGAATTAAGTCCTTTACTAACTCAATGGAAAGAGGGAGGAGGCTCTAGCAGGGCTACTAGGAATTACTCCCAGAACAACACTGCAAAACTGGTCTGCCAAGAGAACAGCTTTCTCTGCTACAATCCAGAAACTTGGGAAACATGGAACTACTACTGCAATTGTGTCCTAGTATCAAACTCCTCTGGGGATCATAAAATCACTGTTACAACTGTTGTCTCTAGAAACCTCTCTCCTTAGCAAAGAATGGAAGAAAATATTTGCAAAAGACACATCTGATATGTGGACTGTTATCCAAAATATACAAAGAACACTAAAAACTCAACGATAAAAAAACAAACAACCTGATTTTAAAATGTGCCGAAGACCTTAATAGACACCTCACCAAATAAGACATACAGATATGCAGATAACAAATAAGCATCTGAAAGGATGCTCCACACTATGTCTTCAGGAAAATGCAAATTAAAGCAATAAGAAACCACTACACACCTAATAGAATGGCCAAAATCTGGAACACTGACAACAGCACCTGCCAAAGAAGATGTGGAGCAATAGGAACTCTCATTCATGGCTGGTGGAAATGCAAAATGGTATAGCTTTTAGAAGACAGTTTAGAGGTTTCTTATAAAACTAAACATATACTCTTACCATACGATCTGGCTATTGTGACCCTGGTATTTACACAAAGGAGTTGAAAATTTTAATCCACACAAAAAACAGTACACAGATGTTTGTAGCAGCTTTATTCATCGTTGTCAAAACTTGGCAGTAACCAAGATATCCTTCAGTAGGTGAATGGATAAATTAACTGTGGTTCATCCAGATAATGGAATATTATTCGGTGCTAAAAAGAAATGAGATATCAAGCCATGAAAAGACATGGAGGAAACTTAAATACATATTATGAAAGAATAAGTGAAAGAATCCAATCTAAGAAGGCTACTGTTTGATCCCACCTATATGACAGTCTGGAAAAGGCAAAATAATGGAGACAGTAAAAAGATTGGTGGTTGCTATGGGTTGGCAGGGGAGAAGGATGAACGGGCAAAGCACAGAGAATTTTTAGGGCAGTAAAAATACTCTGTGTGATACCATAATGATGGACACATGTCATCATGCATTTGTCCAAACCCAAAGAATATACAACACCAAGAATGAAATGCAATGTACACTATGGACTTTCGTTGATTATGCTATATTGATGTAGGTTCATCAATTATAACAAATACATCACTCTGGTAGGGATTGTTGATGAGGGAGGCTATGCATGTGAGGGCAGGGAGTATGTTGGAAATCTCTATACCTTTCACTCAATTTTGCTGTGAATGTAAACCTGCTCTTTAAAAGAAAAATCTTAATTAACATAGTTAAAATGACCATATTACCTAAAGCATGATACAGATTTAATGCAATCCACATCAAAATCCCATTGGCATTTTTAAAAGAAATAAAACAAAAAATCATCAGATTTGTATGGAAGCAAAAAAGACCCCGAAATGCCAAAGCCATCCTGAGAAAAAAGAATGAGGCTGGAGGCATCACTCTGCCTGACTTCAAATTATACTACAAAGTGACAGTAATCAAAACAGCATGGTTTGGCAGAAAAATAGACACATGGACAAGTGGAACAAAATTGAGAGTCCAGAAATAAACCCATATTTATATGGGAAAATAATTTTCAACATAAACACCAAAACTATACAGTGGAGGAAGGAAAGCCTCTTCAATAAATGGTGCTGGGAAAACTGGAAAGCCACCTGCAAAAAAAACTAGACTGTTGTCTATCACCCCACACCAAAATTAACCCAAAATGGATTAAGGACCTGAATATAAGACCTGAAACAATAAAATACATAGAAGAAAACATAGGAATTAAACTCAGGGACCTTGGACTTAAAGAAGATTTTATGAATTTGACCTCAAAAGCAAGGGAAGTAAAAGCTAATATAAATGAATGGGACTACATCAGACTAAAAAGCTTCTGAATAGCAAAATAAATCATCAACAAGTAAACAGACAACCATCTGAATGGGAGAAGATATTTGCAAGCAACGCCTCCAATAAGGGCG